AGGTCCACAGATCAGTGTTATCTGCACCCAGCACTGCTTGGCTGACATGGCCTTGACACTTTGTCCATGTGCTCAGCACACTGTCAGACTGTACCAATATCCACATGATGTGACGTCAGTGCTTTCCTTCTGCCTCTGAAGAGTGTGGCCCTGTCACCTCTTATCTTTTCCAAGCCATTTGTCACGGTCTGTGGATCCCACTAGGCACCCTTCACAGTGGTCTCCTGGAGCTTCCCAGTGTCTCCAGTCTTCTGAAGCCCCCTGTGAGGTCTCTGCCCAGTGCTCCTCAGGGTGTTTCTAAGAGCATCAGCCAGCTCCTCTTACTGGTCACTGAGGCTAAAGCCCACATAGAGTTTGAGGCGTTCAGCTCAGGCTGTGTTTGTGCTCCATTCATCTTACCTGACCATCCTTCATCATTTGAGTGAGTGAAAGCAAGATGTCACAGCCTCCCCAGAGCACATATGAATGAATGTTTTCCCACTAAAAATGAAGAAGGAGAGAAAGAGAAATAACAGTGTCATGTCCCCAAAACAAATCTTTGCTGCCTCTTGACAAGTTCAGCGATTAGTGAATCTTTTTAGTCAGGGACCTTTGTTCAAGTAAGAGCCTATGGAAGTGGTAGCAAGTTATACAAGTAAAAACTGAATTCCGCTGGAGGAAGCAAGGGTGGTAGTGGGAAGCTCTGCTTGCTCAGAGCCCCCCTCTGAGGAGTATGCTGAGAAATAGAGGAGGGAATTAGAAGGATGAAGGTGATAATCAGATAGCCTCATATTAACTGGTGAACAGTTTGGGTTCTTCCAGATGAATTCAGTTCTAATGGACCAGAGAGATGATCTCTTGGTTTCTGCTCTGAAGGAGTAAACTGAGAGATAGTAACTCATATCACAAGGTCACAGGGTCCAAACTCTGGAGAGGTGAGAAGTCTGTCTCTCAGTCTCATCAGCTTTACTCTTCTCTTGCAGAGGTTCCAAAAACAGAACAGAATTTTGAGGAGCGCCTGATACTCAAAGCTTTCTTGCTGAAGTTTGTCAATGCCTACTCTCCCATCTTCTATGTGGCCTTTTTCAAGGGGAGGTGAGTATCACAGTATCATACATGGAAGGCCAATATGTCCCTGAGACTGGGTCCTCCACTGTCAGGACAAGTAGGGTCAGCCCATCCCCGTTGGCAACTCACACCCTCAGTCCCCTTTCCCAGCCCCATTCCCACTGGCTTCTCACCCCAGCAAGGGTATTAGCACCAAATCATTTTTTTTTAAATTTTTTTTTTATTGTACTTTAGGTGAAGGTTTACAGAACAAATATTTTCTCACTAAACAGTCAGTACACATATTGTTTTATGACATTGATTAACAACCCCACGACATGTCAACACACTC